CTGCGGAAAAAAATTATCAATTGATAAAAAAAAATTAGAGTTAGTTTTTTTGCGGGATTTCGATAATTTTAATTAGCTATGAGAAAACTAACTTTAAATTAGTTTGTAAAGTCGCAGAGGCGTCATGCTAAGTTACCGGGAACCATACAAAAATTACTTTGAATACACTTTTTTCTGCACTTCGCAGATGCTTACTCGAATTCGGGACAAATAAAATAAATATCGAAATTTTATGTTATCATTTTGATGTTATGTCTGATGAAATTTAAATGTGGGACCACCTAAAAAGAACACGTGAACAAATAAACAAATATACAATGTTAAATACAGTAAATAAAAGAATCTAAAAAATTAAAAAAAAAAANAGTTAGCTACAAGTTAGCTGACATCGAATGCAGAGGAAACCAGTGATCACTTTTTTGCGGTCATAAATAAATAAGTAATAAAAAGTTACAAACTAGCCCCGTTTCCTGCAGGGTCCTTAAATATACTAAGTAGCATAAATGCATGTGTGTAGGTAGTAGATGCGCGCGCGTTGCTCGCAAATTCACATCATCTTGCATTCGATGGTATAGAAGTGGAATTGACCGTAGTTGCCTGCAGTCGACCAGAAAATTTGAAGTTGTTGTTGTTATCATCGTCATTCTAACAATTATCATTAACACTGTACATTCACTTTTTGCGGCACAGAAAAAAAAAATCGAAATAATAATAAACACAAAAACAAACCAAATTTACCAACGCTAACGAGTGTCAAAGCCAACAAACTAACAGAAAATGTAGAAAAATGGAAACTAATGAAAAATGTAGTCCTGCTTCATTTCTTAACGGTTCGAAAATTAATATAATTTTTTAAATATTTGAGTTTTGCATTTAAAACATGTTTATGAAGGCAGACAAAATTTAAAAAAATCACACTTAGCTCAAATTTTCATTTTATTTGTTTTTTTTTACTTTTTTATTACATTTCGATTTACTTTTCATATGTAGTTGAATTTTTCTTCATTTTTAATGTCTTATTGAATTATACTTCTTATTTTATTTTTTAATACATTTTATTTCTTTGTTGTTTGTTTTTATTCCTATATTATATTTTTTGCGTATTTTATTTCGTTTCTCTTGTTTTTTTATTTTTCCGTAATTTATTATTTATTTTATTTTTTATATCTTCTTTATTGGCGCTGTAACCGCGTAAGCAATTTCCACCGCGTCCACGAAGCCAATCGTGTTGCTAACATGTTTTATTGTATTCTATTTTGTTTTATTTTTTTGTAAACTTACAGCCAATTTCACGAAAATTTTATGTGGAAATTGACAGAAAATAAAAAATCATTTTCCATATAAATTGCTGCTGAAACCGGCTGCTATTTTTTTATTTTTATTCATATTTTTTATCGCTTTCGAATTACTTTAATTTTTTCGTTTTATATTTGGTTTTATTTTAATCTGTTTATTTTTTTCTTCTTAATTTTTTTTCCTTTTCTTGTATAATATATTTTTCTGTATTTCGTTTTATTTTTCACCATTTATTTATTTAGTTTAAAAAGGTTGAACTTGATTAAATTTTATTTAATTTTTTCTCACATTTTAATTATTTTGTTATTTCATTTTACTTTAAATATTTATTTATTTTTAAATTATTTACTGTACTTTATTTTACAGATTTTCTTTTCGTATTTAATATAATTTACTTAATTTAACTTAATTCAGTTGACATTAATTCTAGTTCCATTTTAAATTATTTAGTTCTTTACCATTTTTACATGTTTTCCTTTTCCTTCTAACCGTTTGTTATATTTTATATCTTATTATTTTATTATGCGACGTGTTTTAATTGAAATTTAAAATTTTTTAAGTAAATTTTATCTTTTTCATGACTTTGATGCAAGTCATATTTTCTTAGCTTTGAAACTACCGAAAACTTCTGAATTGAATCTCGACGTTGTTTTAATGTTGTGCCGCGTAGATGCTTCTTACATTTGTAAGTGAATATGGCAGCGGTTTGTCAATTTATACATTCATTTGATTTCCGTTAGAGTAAACTTTGTTTAGTTGGCCGTGTTTGGTCCCTTGCTATTCTCACACTCTCATAGACAAGCCATGTGGAAATGAATACATATCGCTACCTAAACGTGAAGAGGTGCCAATCCATTTTTTTGAAATTGTTCAAATCTAAATTTTGATAAAAGTGACTTGGCACCTTTTCACCTTTAGGTAGCGATATTATACATATGCTAGTATGTACCTTAGGGTGGTCCAAAAATGCATGTGAATAAGTAAAGTCGGAAATTTTTTGCTCTCACCCCTAGGATTGTTCTATACCCGAAAAATTTACCCCTATTTTTATTTTGAAATCAATGTTTTTCATGTATTTTATATGAAAAAAGAAAAACTTTTTCGTAGAAATAGTACCGAATTCTTGAGAATCAATACTTTGCGATCGAAAAACTCTGTTTCTCTGCAGGAGGTTCGCGATAATAATACCAAAGAACGTAGATAACGTTATCTACGTTCTTTGATAATACCCAATTGTTTATTTTACCATATTTTCATAGTAACTATAATATATAGCTCCGCTAAAAACTCCCAAAATCGTTAGTATTAAAACATTGTTAAGTAAACAGTAAGGTATTGTTCTTGAAAGTCTTCTGAAGACAACCAGAGTTTTGCGATCGAAAAATATTTATTTTCAACAATTCTATACCATTTCTACGAACAGTTGTTTTTCCCCATATAAAATACATGGAAATCTTTAAGCGCTTTGAGCGACCTCTAAATAGTATTTGATTTCAAAATAAAAATAGGGGTGTACTTTTTTCGATGTAGACTATTCCTAGGGGGTGAGAGCATTCAAATTCCGTTTTTATTTTATTTATTTTTTTACCACCCTAATATGTTAGTGTTTGTCCGAGCGTCTTCTCCGATTTGTGGCGTGCGCCTTGATGTTGTCACACAAAGCGGAGGAACCTGCAATTTTACGCCGACTCCGAACGGCGATTGCATTTTTAAACTGGAACGATTTGTATGAAGTGTGCACGATTTAATTGAGTTGTCTATGAACTGCATGAATATCGGTTAATATCGATCGGCCAGGACGCACAGTGGGCGATTTGGACGCGCTAGCGGCGGTTAATTCAAATTTTTAAGTTTAAATATGCAAGAATTGTTTATTTCTTATCGATTACAGATATTTCGATTAGCTTATGTGTACATCTGTATATAATCGATATCTATATATAAAAGCAGATCGTAATAAAATACGTATCTGGGATTAAGGGTAATAACTTGCACTTTCTAAAAAATATAAATTTCTTTAGCGTTAATTATGCATTTTTTCAAAAAAAACGTTATTTTATGTGAAAGTTTCGATTTTTTTTTTGTCTTTTAGTGTTTTTGGCTTAAAAATATATGTCAAAAAATGCCACTTTGCGACGTTTTATGAATCGCACTACTAAGCTTCTGCATGCTAAAACGTTAATCTACCATGGAATTAAAAATGGAAAATGGTTTTCAGAAGCTAGTTACATTAGGGCTGTTCAGCATATTGTGCACATACTCTTGCATTTGCATATTCGTTGCATTTGTAAATTCACAACAATAAAATGCAAACGGTTGCCATGGCAGCCAGCATAAACTTTGCAAATGCAATTCCAACTGCAAATCTCAGACCATTTCCACGACATCCTGAACAGCCCTATTGCTTTCTTGAAGATGACATGTTGATAGTGCTTCTCAAATTGAATGCAGCCTACGTAATGGCTTACCATTTTGATGATTTTTGAAGAGCAACGTGCGGTTTTCGCCGGCAATTAAGCAGCCATAAAGAACAAGGCAAGGCGAATTTATACGAGGTGGTGTTACAGGCTAACCTAATATTCGCGGCTTGCGTTTTGATAAGTACGCTGTCGAATTTGTTTTTTTTGCGTCACCCGAAATTGGTTTGCGTGCGTTTGCATTTGATGTCATTGAGCGAAACGTCAAATCAAAATGTCACGCAGAACAAAAATTGGAAATTGAGTTAGCTTCATACGCACGCCGTTCAATTTCAGTTGGTCTCATACAAGTTGTATGGACATGATAAATTTTTGACAGTAAATTGGCGGCGTGCGTGAATATTAGGTTAGCCTGTTACTGGCGAATTTAGATTACAACAACGACAACATTGCGGGTGTTACGTCAAATCTAAATTCGCTCCAAAGTTTACACGTGTTTTGTTTTTGCTTTTGATGGGTGCGCTGTCAAATCAGTAAAAGCAAAATCAAAATACATGTAAGGCAAAGAAATCAGCTGATTTTAAAACACCACCTTGTATAAATTCGCCTTGGAACAAGGCGCTTCATATTCGGAATAACAGTGGTGGAAATGTTACCGAATCCAAATTTGACTAGGTATCGGGTTTCGATACGAGTATTTGTTTTTTTTTTTTTTTGGATACCTACTCAGTACTTGGTTCAAAAGTATCGATACCAAAACTACTTGGTATCGAATGAAAAGTATCGAGATGTACTTGTATTTCACCTTATCGGCAGGCAGATAATCGACGGCGCGCTTTGAAACTGGAGTAGCNTATCGAATGAAAAGTATCGAGATGTACTTGTATTCCACCTTATCGGCAGGCAGATAATCGAGGCGCGCTTTGAAACTGGAGTAGCAACACAACAAAATACTTTAAAACAAATAAAAAAGTTTTGAATACATTTAGAATTAGTGGAACAACAGGGAAAACAACGTGGAGGTGCAATCGCTAATTACGAACACAACATACGTAGAGGAACAACCTGACTTAAGGACTATTGGGTCCTTTGTGTAAATTCATCAAAGCTAAAAAACTAATACGATTAGTTTTCAATTAAGTTACACACAACTTGTCGATATTAACATACACATGCTACATGATCGTGTAGCACCAAGAGGAACAAATACAGAAAAGGAAGAACAACCTGGCGTTAAGGGAACCAACCAAACCCAAAGCCCAAACAAATAGAAGAATACGATTAGCAATGGCAACAACAACAACACGTCAACTACTTCCCGATGTGAATGGCAATGACCTCCTTTATTTCATTAAGGGTCAAATGAATAAAATATGCGACTTCTACGATGAGCAGGATTTTATAGATGTAACATTTAAATTGTCTAACCCCACCGCTATGTGAGTTTTCAATTGATTCACACCTCTAGAATAATTATTTTATTTCCATTTTCACAGGATTCCAGCACACCGCTTGATACTCGCAGCAGCAAGTCCTTACTTCAACGACCTTTTCAANCTAACCCCACTACTATGTAAGTTTTCAATTGATTCACACCTACATATATAGAATAATTATTTTATTTCCATTTTCACAGGATTCCAGCACACCGCTTGATACTCGCAGCAGCAAGTCCTTACTTCAACGACCTTTTCAAAAGTGCCCAGGGCCTAGCTCCTGTTATCGAGTTACACAACGTAAATAGTGACTCCTTTGAGCGGTTAATGACATTTTGCTACACCGGCAAAACGCTCATAACCATCGACAATGTGGGTGCAATGTTGAAGGCGGCTATGGTTTTGAAGTTAGATGGGGCCGTTTTGAGTTGCGTTGACTATATTTCCGGGCATATAACTGAGTATACGCTGCAACGGGCATATTGCTTAGAGAATGAAACTCAGTGTGTACCACTGTACGAGAAACTCTTTGAATATGTTTTAGAGAATTTCATGGAGGTGTGTCTTTTACAAGCATGTCTGTTTTTTGTGTCATTATTCTTGTCGTTATTTCTAGGTGACCCGGACCCCTGAGTTTTTAAGTTTAAATGCTGAGAAATTGCAGGCACTCATAGAGAGCGATAAATTGAATGTGAGTTGTGAAAAAGATGTATTTGACGCTGTAAATCGGTGGTATGAATACGACGCTGCAGGGCGTCAACAGAAACTGCCAGACTTAATCGATAGTTTACGCCTTAATCAGCTGGATACGGATTTCCTATTGAGAAAAGTTCAGTTACTGCCTGGCTGTGAGGTATTAGCTTTAAGAGCGATAACGTGGACTACGCTACCTACAAATCGTGCAATGGTGTCGTTAAAGTTTACAACGCCTCGAAAAGATGTGCGCAACACGTCGGAGGAAACCACACTATTGGCAATAGGAAGAAGTGTAAGTTCAACCAACTGATATTTGATAACGAAGTTGCATGTTATAAAAATAAGTTATCCGCAGAATAAAATTTCCGAACTTGAAAAGTAGTAATGAACTAAAAACGAAAATTTAGAGTAAAAGCTCAGTTAGTCTACACTTAATTTACGTAACGTAACCTAATATATTGGCCAACGCAATATATTTTTTGTCAATTTATATTGTGGCGCATTCATATTTATTTCAATAGTGTTATTGAGCTTTGTACCACGATTTGTTTGTTAGGAAAAATGGAAAAAACAACAATGCTTAAGCGGTAGAAGTTATAGCAGCTGTAGTGATCACCCTTACACTTGTACTTGCCACACTGTGTGGCAACAGCATAAAATGTCAACGATGGGCAAAACGAAACCAACCTGATGTGATGGATTTGAATACTAACTGACGCCTAAGCTTTGTCTACGCACTCGTAAAATACTGCGCATTTTACAACTGAATAGTTGTTATAAAAGAACTAGCAGACCCGGCGAACTTCGTCCCGCCCAAATTTAAATTTTTGTACTGAGACATTTTGGTCCAAATTTTTTACCAACAGTTCACGTTCACGATTTTCAGTGACGCATTTATCTTGTAATATTACGGTTTGGTGGTTGTCAGAAGGCATATTTCCATTGCCGTCTTAAATAACGTAGCAAAGGTGTATATGCATACAAAGATACGTAATAGTTTCAGTGAGTTTGAAAGGCGCCACACCCCTTTTCAAATAGCCCCAATTTTCTCTAAGAGTATGGGATCGATTTCATATATCTCCACACCATGTACTCTACCATGAACACTTCCAGAAATATGCNCCAATTTTCTCTAAGAGTATGGGATCGATTTCATATATCTCCACACCATGAACACTTCCAGAAATATGTAATATGAAAAATTCTGTTTGTATGGCAGGCGCTATGCCCCCTGCACCTAGCGGTATGAAATATACTTTACATCCGATTCTCATGCCTACCATATATACACAAAAAATTTCTTAAAGATCGGTCGAGCCATTTAGGAGGAGTTCGTCCACAAACAACGTGATACGGGATTTTTATATATTAGATATTAGATATATTTTTAAGTTTGTAAAAATAAAGAATTATAGAACATCGGAGTTCTATAAGTGGTGACCCCGACGAACGTGAAATAACCTGACTATAATTTGTAAACCTGTGGACGATATCATGCCGAACGACGAAGAAACATTTCAAGAGGCAGAAGAAAAGAAGTGGCGGCTGCTTCTGCCTGCGGCCGCGCTTAAGGATTATAAGCCTTACTAATGAGAATTTTCTTTTCTGTGTTGCCGGAGAAGAGGGCGGAAGCCCGGCTATGCCATCCACTGTATCCGCAGAACCCACATCGAAATTTACAAAAAAAAAGTGCATGGTTCAAACTGAATTTATTAATGAACTAGAGCTCGGAAATTTGGAACCATTGTTTTAAATGAAAGTTGCCTTTGACTACACGTGTATGTTAAAGTTTTTAGATTCGGATGATGCGTTTGGATACAACCACCCAAAATTATTGTACAAATAAAACCGTACCCAAGTTTCTCGATAAGGGGCAACAAACATTATTTTTTGTTCGTTAATTTTAAGCAGTGGATAAAAATATACGTATATTCAAAAGGCACATTTATCTGTCTAAAAGGACATCACTAATATTTCCTGCAAACACACATCGATTTACATCTTTTTGCTTTTTGCTCGCTTCCAACACAGAATTGTTTTCTTTCAAAATTACTCAAAAAAGCTGTAAATTTCTTACTCGTTCGTATTTAGGTATGCCATTGATACGAATTTCGAAAGTTCGAAGATACGATTCGGATTGCAGCATACCATTTCTACGATTCGTAGAAAAATCCGAATACGAAAGTTTTGCAGAACAGGGGTGTAAACCAGGGATAGGCAGATTTTTGGCTCTTAAAGCAGTCAAAGAGCCAGCAAGTGCTAAGCAAGAAGTAAATCAGTTCTCAGGGTAAAAACTTAAACCATCATATACTTGAATACNAGCAGTCAAAGAGCCAGCAAGTGCTAAGCAAGAAGTAAATCAGTTCTCAGGGTAAAAACTTAAACCATCATACATTTTAATATGGTCTTCGAGCACCTAAATGTGCCAAGCCGGCTCCTAAGTGCAAAAGGCTCCTGGGAGCCATTTTGCCCATCTCTGGTGTAAACTATGAAGCGGCCTTAAACTCGCCCTGAAAAACTGCCACTTACTCTGGCATTCAGTAGGCGGTCTCTAGTCACTAATAGTGACTTTTGGTGGTGAACTTTGATTTTGAGACTGTTTGGTATTCAGTACGCTGTCTCACGTCTCTAGTCTCAAAACTAAGTCACTAATTTGTCAGGTGGCTAAGAGCAGGTCACAAAAATAAAAATATGGAGGAAAAGCTACCCAGTAGATAATTTCAGGAGTTAAAAGCCCTTCCGAAAGGCCTTCCTGAGAGTCGAGAAGCCTTCCACTCTACATTTCTTTCTCCTTTCTATTTTGTATGGAGTGGCACAAATTGAAGGGCTTCTTCTTTCGCTCCCCATGGAAGGCCTTCAAAAGGCCTTTTGCAGGAGTTCTTTTAAAGTTGCTTCTTTAGTTTATAAAAATCATACATCTTTGAAGTATTTCCTTAAGGTTTATATCAAATATGTGTTATTGCAACTTAAAATGGGNCTTTCTATTTTGTATGGAGTGGCACAAATTGAAGGGCTTCTTCTTTCGCTCCCCATGGAAGGCCTTCAAAAGGCCTTTTGCAGGAGTTCTTTTAAAGTTGCTTCTTTAGTTTATAAAAATCATACATCTTTGAAGTATTTCCTTAAGGTTTATATCAAATATGTGTTATTGCAACTTAAAATGGGCTTTTTTCAGCCCTTCTTGGGTAGGCCTCTTAGAATGGCTTTACTTAAGAAGGCCTACGCAAATTATCTTCTGGGTAATTTCTTTCCATTTTTATAAACAAAAAACGCGAAAATGAAGCGAAGAAATTTGCTCAACAACAATTTCATTAGGAAATAAACCAAAATGCTTTAATGCCATACAAATCTATTGAAAATTTTTGTTTGTTTTTAAAACATTAAAATATAAAGATAATTAAAAAATAAATAAAATTAATTAAAAAAAACGAAAAAATACTAAATAAAAAATCCTCTACGCCCGAGGAGGACTCGAACCCAGACCCTCTCGACCGCCAGCGTAATGCCTTGACCACTCGGCCACATAAACGCTATCAGTTGACTGCCCGTGTTTGCTTTCACCACACATTTTTGGTGAACTTTTTGTGACTGCTACTGAATAACCAAAATCATCTCAAGTTACAAAAAATAGTCAAAATAGTTGATTAATTGCTAATCTCAAATTTAGTGCCTTGAGATGAGACTGCATTACTGAATCCCAGGGTTACAGTCACATAAAAAGGCATTCGTGCTGTTCTCTGATCTAGGCATATTAAAACTAGAAAAGTTACAAATTTAGGGTTTATATTAAGTACTGGGACTCACATCCATATGTAGGTCTGTACATACATTTAATTGAAAACTCGCCGCTGCTATATAAAAGCCCGCTTTCAATAGCCTTTTAACGTTTTTTCCCTTGATTAATTCTATTTATTTGTATTTTGACTTAAATTTTTTCTTTAAATAAATGAATCATTTACCGCAGGAAGGGGATGTAAAAATTTTTCAATATGACAAAGCTGAAGATGAATGGCACAAATATGACGATATGGAATATGATTTCAGCAGTTCTGAAATGGCATTCGTTGATGACAGTCTAATCTTTATTGGTGGGTGCTCCGATATCAAGCCGACCAATGTTGTTAAAAGCTGGAACATAAAAACGAAAACATGGAGTACATTGCCTTCGATGGCACAGCCCCGAGGTTGGCCAAGTGTTATATCATTGAACGGGAGTATCTACGCCATTGGTGGATGGACTACAATTATCCAACGTACAAATTCGGTCGAAATGTAAGTATATATGCAACTACGAAGCATTCTATGATACTACATGAGATTTTTCTTGAATTCAAAGATAGACATATGTGACCTGGTCTTCGAAAAGGGAGCTTACGTGCGAAAACTAGTTTTCTGTGAAAAAGCTGTTAAAAGTAAGCAACTCGTTTCGTTTACTCGTTTTTACTCTTCTTTCTCTACATTTTTAGTACACTTCTAAGCAAGTTAGGATTTTCTGCTTTTCACCACGTGAAAAAGCATCTCATCTTCCATCCGAATCAACCAGAAAGTGAAAATTGATTTTTTGACACCTAAGCCCCCTTTCCGTAGACCAGGTCACATATATACTTTCTTAAAAAGGAATTTAGCAGGAAAAGCATCTCAAACTTTCTATTTAAAAAATAAAGATTATATTAAGCAGGGCTGCAAACCGTTTCAAAAATCAAAGCGGTTCGGTACAGTGGTTCGAACCATTTAGAAAAAACTTGTACCGGTACAGGAACCGGTTTACGATGATGAGAAGATGTGGTGATCTCCGAAATAGCAGCTCACCGTATTCTTGAACCAAATTCAACTAAGTCGGTCTGGAACGATAGAATTTCCAATTAGACTAGTTTGGGGAGCGTTACCAAGTCAGAATATGCGAAGTTTGCTATCGTAGCAAGTGCCGATTTCAAAAACTAATTTTTTCGATTTTCAGCCGAAATTTTCGCATTTATAGTATAAATAAGACTGTATATGTAAAATTTTTTATATATGTATATACGTATATGTGTGGAATTTCGTAGTCGTCTACCACAACAGCTAACTTTTGGTCCACTTATAACGGCTAACTTTCTGGTTTCAAAGTCACTATATTTCTTTATTGCAAGCGAAAAGATGTGCGTTTGAGAAAATCCGTTAAATAAAAAAGAAAGGCATCTAGCAACAACAATTTTTGCGAGTGCACTGTACAAGTCAGTTAATATTATTTAAAAAAATTAGCTACAAACACTCATGGGCAAATTACGATCACAACATTTAGACAACACATAGATTATTTAACGCTCATGCTCGGGACGTATCTGAAGACTAGCAGACATCTGTTGAGTTCGGAACCTTTCTCTGTTTCATATTAGACCAGATTGATGGTTGCTTTGACTAGCACGGAAATGACCTTACCATATTTGCATATGTACCTAGACATTCGTTTTCGCATTTATTGGAATTTATAATAGCCATAATAATAATAATAATAGATTGGCGCTTACACATATGTTAGTGTTTGGCCGAGCTTCTCCTCTGATTTGTGGCGTGCGCCTTGATGTTGTCACACAAAGCGGAGGGACCTACAGTTTTACGCCGACTCCGAACGGCGATTGTATTTTTATGGGAAGCTGNTTTTTTTTTTTTTTTTTTTTTTTTTTTTGTATAATAGCCATGGGAATATTAAATAATCAAATTTATCAACTCAACAAAATTTTATAATTTTAACTTCCAACTAAATCTAAGGAAAAATCCCGCCCCGGAGGGAAACACCCCTATAGTCGGGTCTGCACACATGTACATATATATATGTATAGAATATACTTGTACATATGTAAATATATATAATCATTCATATAAAACCTTACATAACAAAAACGAAGACTTCGGCTGAAAATCGAAAAAGTGACCGTTTTGAAATCGGCACTTGCCACGATTTGAAATTTCGCGTATTCTGACTCCGGAACATCCCCCTAAAATAGTCTAATTGAAAATTCCATCATTCCAGACCGATTCAGTTGAATCTGGTTTAAGAACACCGTGATATGCGCGTTTCCATACAAATTTAAACCAAAAATGCAAGCAAATGAGTTCAAACGGCTTTATAACTTTAAATTTCGTATTCAGATAGCGAAAAAAGGTCATGAAAACGCGAAACGATGGAGAGCAGAACTGAAAAAATTAAATAAAAAATTCAGTTATATAGGTACATATATGTTACTCTAAAATATTCTATGGAGGAAAAATCTGTCGAGTCCGATATGTCACGTCCATTATCATATTTTAATTCATAATTAAAACAACAACGAATTGCTTCTGATTAAAAATGAATTGGTTGTAATAGTACGTAATTTGACTCTATTTAAAGAATGTTTAAGAAAGGAAAACCTCACAGGATTCGCAGAGTTTTGCTCATTGCCATGTTTTTTTTTTACATGTACTCTGAAACCACTTCTGTTTTTGTCACGTCCGTTATGACCTCCTTTTCATCGATTTTTCCGCTACCAGTGGTCCAATCGCACCTAATTTGTTTTTCAACCAAAAGGCGGTATAAAAGCTATACAACGGTAAGTTTAGTAGTAAAGTCGTACGAATGTCACGTCTGACATCATGGAAACACCCATATGTGGTCATAAATGGGCGGTGCTTTACCCATTTTCCAAACATCAATTTCCCACTAGAACTTAAAGGGAGATCTCCCTATATGAGAAATAAAAGAGTACTCCCCTTGACCTGATTTCGGAGCAACAAGATAGATTTGTCGGTTTTGTACTCCTTTATTACTCGCTTAGAAGTCAAATAGGAGATCTCCTAAGCGAGCAAGTAAAGAATGCTCTCTGAGGCATGATTTAGGAGGATTAAACGAGATTTTTAGGAGAGTAATGGGATATATTCTAAGCGAACAGTTAAGTTCTGAACGAAGTCCCTGATTGCTCATTTAGGAGGTAAAAGGGATTACTCGCCACCCTAGGACATCCCGTGTTAAAGGGAGTATACAAAATTACATGCTTATACACAGAAGCATAGGGAGCAATGGGGAGTAGTCCTATACTCCAAGGGAGTACTCACCGAGCAATCGTACGATGATCCCAAGTTCTACTGGGTTGGAATAAATTCGCTTCAGTAGTTACTGATTTATCGCAGATTTCGTATTTCTCTAAATTACCGTTATAGGGGATGTGGGCGTGGTTATTGTCCGATTTTAAAAAATTTCAGCCGTTTGATATGCTTTACCAGGACCAACAACTGTGCCAAGTTTAGGAGAAATTGGTGAAGCGGTTACCGCGATATACACATGTAATCATAAGTGGGCGGGGGCACGCCCATTTTCCAAAAATATATAATATTCGTATTTTTCGTCTAAAAGTCATTGAATCGCCCCATATGCATGTACGTTTCGTCACCTGAAATGCAAAAAGACGCAACAAACATCGTCGCTGAAATACAAAAAGTCGTAACTAATAAAAAAATTCAAAATTCGGTTTTTGATTGATATGATGGATTTCATCGAATTACAACTCCTACAAAAAATATTGGTCAGGACTTTTTCCATTTCAATTACGTTGTTGTTACGTCTTTTTGCATTTCATGTGACGATATGTATCTTTAAATAATGCCGCGCATTTTTAATTTCTCACCTTTTAAATGTCCTTTAGCAGATTAATTCCATACATATGTATTTGCGACAAATTTCTTAGTGCATTAGTTCTAAACCTTCACTCATTAAACTCTTTTAGATATAAACCTGGTAACGGATGGGATTTTGTAAGCAGCATGTCAACAGCACGTTCTGGCGCCGGCGCAGTGGTTTTAAATGGCAAAATTTTCGTTATGGGCGGCTGGGATGGAAGTTACCAATTAAAATCTGTTGAATGTTACGAACCATCTTCGGACTCTTGGACCGAGTGTGCGTCTATGAACGAAGGCCATAGTTTGCCTGGANAAAAAGTCGTAACTAATAAAAAAATTCAAAATTCGGTTTTTGATTGATATGATGGATTTCATCGAATTACAACTCCTACAAAAAATATTGGTCAGGACTTTTTCCATTTCAATTACGTTGTTGTTACGTCTTTTTGCATTTCATGTGACGATATGTATCTTTAAATAATGCCGCGCATTTTTAATTTCTCACCTTTTAAATGTCCTTTAGCAGATTAATTCCATACATATGTATTTGCGACAAATTTCTTAGTGCATTAGTTCTAAACCTTCACTCATTAAACTCTTTTAGATATAAACCTGGTAACGGATGGGATTTTGTAAGCAGCATGTCAACAGCACGATCTGGCGCCGGCGCAGTGGTTTTAAATGGCAAAATTTTCGTTATGGGCGGCTGGGATGTAAGTTACCAATTAAAATCTGTTGAATGTTACGAACCATCTTCGGACTCTTGGACCGAGTGTGCGTCTATGAACGAAGGCCATAGTTTGCCTGGGGTGAGTGTGTCAATGCTAGGCTTACATATACATAAGTAGATTATTCTCATTTTCGAGCATAACCCCCTAAACTGTAATTAGAAAAAAAGATTAGCCTTACAAAATTCGTTCCCCGTTAATCCGTAATTATAAAATAGTCTCAGATTAATCTGACAACTTTTCGTTGTCCAACCTAGTTTTATCCACGTTGCAGCGAGACAAAGTTGGCGCCTTCCGCGGACCGCTAGTCCTCTCTTTGTGTTTTTCGCAATAGTGATTGCCGAAAAGTTTTACCTAAAAGAAGATAAACGTACCTAAAAAGTAAATAAGTATGTATTTTTCTGTTCATACTTTTTCGATAGTTGGTGAACTACCTCTTCCTTCGGTAGCATATCTACTTTTGGACAAACACAATCTATTTTATTAAAATGGCCTTGAATGGAATTTCTCCCGAGCAGTTGAAGTCAAACCTCTGTTTTAACCAATGTTTATGCCCCTTTACAAAGGAGGGAGGCTATTGGAATTCCCACACTGGAAAACGCGTTGAAATGCCTTGGAAATTTAGAAAAAAATTGCCGATAAGTTATTTGGCTACGTTCCGAATGTATCTAAAATTACACTGTGCGCCACCAATATATAATTGGGAAGTTATGTATATTTTCTGGTTGATCTTTTCGATTAAAACCAGAATCGAAATATGAAATTTGCCAAACACACCCAAAATCTTGATTTACCACTAAAAAAACGGGTTTTCGTTTATTGCAGGGTTTAAAAAAAAGAGACTTCGGCCTTTCCAACGATATATATGTGAATAAAGAAACCTTAAGAGATCTGTGTATATTTACCAAGCAAACGCATTTTTATTTTTTCCTTTTTATCGCCTTTTTTTAAATTTTGATGAGGTTTTTACGCACTATTTTATAAGAAAGCCATACTAGTCGTAAATCGATTGTAAAACTAAATTTAATAGCGAAAAAAGACAACTCAAAAATGTTTGCTTGACAGTGTTTTTTTTTATTTGACGAAAAGTATGGCCATCCCAAGAGCCACATTTAATAGGCCGGAAATCGTTTTAAACGTCCCATTGGTTAAAGCTGAACATGTTGTCCTGCCACCACTGCATTTAAAGCTAGGATATATGACACTATAGGGGTATTCTCACAGTCTTGCAAAGCCCTTGCAAGGTGCACGGATTGCACGGTTTGCCAAGCTGTCCCATAGGAAGACCGTTTTTTTTCGTGCAATCCATACACCGTGCAATGGCTTTGCAAGACTCCGAGAATATCCTTAATTGTAAAAACATTGGATGTAAATAGCAACGCTTTTTGTTATATTAAAGTGGTGTTCCCAAAATTAAGTGAAGCTAAAATAACAGGAGATATTAATTTTTTATTCTCTCATCTAGTACTTCTTCATCGGTTTTATCTCTTTTTATAAATTTTAGGTATTTTCATAAGACCCCATTTTTGCAAAATTATGAGCGAAGTGAGCTTTTTGAACAAGCTAAGCGCTATGCAATAAAACTTTAAAAATTTCGGGTGCAAATGTTAAAGTTTGATGAATTTTCATAATTTTTAAACGAAGTTTGAAATGAGGATTTATGTGGCGATGTTTAGGTAAAGTGCTAGACTTAAAAAAAAATATATATAAACATTAAATAAATAAAAGAAAAATAGCCAAAACTAGTCAAAATGTCACTTGACTTAATCAGCTGACCACAAGTGTACGTTCAAATTTAAGAGGCTGAAGAGTAGGTACTATTCTACCTAGTTTAACACCACTATTTCGCAACACATGTTCGTTTCTTTCTCTTCTTCTTCAAAATTATTCTTTACTCTCTCATTCTCTTACTAATGCGACGTCACAACCAGTTGCTCTCAGCTCGATTGGCGCAATATTGTATTCTATCATTCTTGAGTTTTATCGATTATTTTTGCGAAGAAGAGGAGAAATGTCAAATGTAAAAGTAAACAAAACGGGGAAACGGTGTTTTTCGGCCTATAAGCCGAATGGTATTGCAAAATTAACACATTTTTTCAAATTGAGAAAACAACACTTTAACTTTTTCCAAAAATCTCCAGTTCTTTGTATAGCTTATTTGTAGACCAAAATATATATTTTTCCGCCTGCACAATATTTTTTTTAATGGACGGTCTAATGTTTCTCCACATTTTAGGTCGCCGTAAGCAATGGATGCATTTATATTTTAGGTAGTGAAATGGCTCTAAGTTGCAAAACAGTTGAATGCTATGACCCTCAAAATAACAAATGGACTAAGGTTGGTTGATTTAAAAAGTTTCCCAAATTTCGAAAACCATCGCATATTTTTGAATGTTACTTTTCGTAGATCTGCGCTTTGAGAGATGGACGTTACGGTATAGGATGTGTTTCTACGGATGACCGACTGTGGGCTGTGGGAGGTATTCCTTCAAATTCCGTGTCAGTATACAATTCGGAACGTGATGAATGGATCGAAAAGAAACCAATACCCAAAAATGGTCGATACTCTTGTTATGTTGTGGCTAAAACGTTATTTGAAAGTGAATAAGTGATGCAATGTTTAATAAGAAGATACTTACTATGTACTCTTCAGAGATGAATCTATTTGGTTGAGGCAGTTTTTGATATTCTATGGTCCTCTGCAATAATGACACAACTCAAAATTCAAAAAATAAAATCCCTTACTACCGTTAAGTGCTTCATGTATCTAATCCTTGTCTAACCCATGTCCAATCCTTTCTAAAGTATGTAACAATGACTACTAAAGTAAGTAGTAAGGATTAGGAATGGATAAGACAAGGATGAGAGACGTGAGGCAATTAACAGTAGTAAAGGCTTTAATTTTCTGAAGTTTGAATTGTGTCGTTATTGTAGAGGACCATCGATATGTATGCCCATATTTAAAAAACAAATTTAATTTTAATGAATTTTGCAACTGTTATTTTTGTTTGTGTAATGGATTTTCGTGCTACAGTTAGAAGTAAAAATTTAAAAAATTTTTTTTTTACATAAAAAACAATGGCACTTTTTGGTCTTTTCTTCATTTAAAATTTATTATTATTAAATATGTAAAGAAAAACTTAAGGAAAGGTGTAGGACTATCGAAAAATCCAAGCATAAATAATTGTTGGTGTTTTACTTGGTGCATATTTTATACCCCTATTCAGGGCTATCACTGAATCGATCATAGAAAATCTACGAATTCGAATGCCTGCAACGAATACGAAAAAATTTCTACCACTGAATCTGAGTGAACTCGAAAATATCGTTGCCAGCTTCGAATGCTGAACTTTGATGATTCTAAATCAGCTGGCGCAAAGGAAACAATAGATACATATACATATATATGTATCAGGGGTTGGCATGCGGTGCACCGCAATTATTGCATACTCAATCGGTACTCCTCTTTTGTATGACTGAGCACCGCATTCATCCACCGCTTTTAATGTGAGCATACCTAAAGTCACAAAAATAGCATCGCATGCCATTCTCTGATATGTATGTCATTTTGCTCACGCTGTCACAAAAGTCGCAATGGCAAAGTGAACAAAAGACTAAAGTGCCATTCGAGAGATATGAGTGCAGCGGAACTTTTTTTTTTCTTTTTTTTATGTTTTTTTCAATTTTTTCTTTATTTAATGATTTTCTTTTTTAATTAAATTTTTTTAGCTTTAATTTTAATATTTTAAAAAGAAAATTTTTTTATCTTAAATTCATTTATTTTTAAAGATATTACAGTATTTAGATTTAATTCCTAAAAAACTTTTGTTAAACTTATATTTCCTCGTTTCATAAAAAAAAAAAAATTATTTCATTAATTGCGTCTGGAAAATCAATTTACATATGTACAGAGGGGCAACGAATAACTGTTACACCGCCTTTTTAACCGACTTCACTTCAGTTCATCGGAATATTTTTTATGTAGATATGTTACCGCATAACTTTAGACCACGTTAACCGATTTCGATAATGTTCGGTTTTTTTTGCTTAAAAATTACTTTTTTAAATAGAAGGGTCCTTTATACATTTTGCGAAGAAAGTATTTTATTGCTAATTTTTACTAATTTTGCTTTAATTTTATTAATTAGTTTTAAAATTTTAATCCTTATTTGCATTTTCCAGGGGCATAAACTTTGGGAGATAAGTGCATGGAAGTCTTTTTCAGGTATATTTTTTCTTAGACTGTATGAAAAAAAGACAAAACTGTATANATTTTCCAGGGGCATAAACTTTGGGAGATAAGTGCATGGAAGTCTTTTTCGGGTATATTTTTTTTTAGACTGTATGAAAAAAAGACAAAACTGTATGGTAAAAAAAAGAAAAAAATGCACAAAAAAAGAAAAATTGTATAGGTATGAGGCCTTACGTTGGACAAAAGGGGGAGTATGAAGGACTCAAAATGGAGGAAATTAGGCTATGGTTACAGAAGATATGGAATAAATTAACCGACGAAAACTTGCGTGCCGTTTGCGCTTTTCTCTCAAAGTGTTTACCGCTTGTAAACCCAAATAAAGGTTAAAATTAAAAAACTAATTCATAAAATTAAGAGCGCTTTCACATTACTCGGTACGATATAGGATCGACATTTCCGTCTTTTACAGAAAGTATACCGATAGTTTACCGACCACGTGTATTTCAATTAGCACTTTTACATTTAGCTGAATTTATATGAGGCAATTCAACATTGATGAAAGAAAATCGTAAATGGTGATTCAAAAATCGTCTACTTTGAGGCAGACAGCAAGTCAACTTTTGCATGCGATTATCGCCTGTTAAAAAATCGCCTCGTCTGAAGGCAGCTTTAGTGTCGCATACATGAAATCGGAGCGGATTCATTTCGGCATACCGCACTGCAGTAAGACCAGTCAGTAGTACAAAAACAAGAAGAAGAAATCAGGAAGTAAATTTAATAAAATAAATATAACAAGTCACAACGTCTTTGTGTTCGCTAGAGGATATTTTTGTTAAATGATTTAAGAAATTTCCAAATTTAATTTGATGAATTGCAGCTTTTGTTTTGATTTTTTCTGTAAATTACATACCGAAAGTATTCCAACAAGCGTGCAAATCAGTGCAACGCGGAATAGTTTCGGTAAGCTGAAAATACCGAGGAAATAATGGCGATCCGATACAGTGCTGCCAGAGACAATTTTTTTCCTACCAAAATCCACCAATACCAACCAAACCTTTTTTCGAGTTTTTAATATTTTTGATCGATGTCAAGATTATTAAAAATGTAGGTCACTTAACATTTAGTAAAACTAAGACACAGCTAGCAGGGCGAATAGAAAAATAAAAGTGCCAATCTTTTTAGTTTCTCCCATTTACCATTAAAATTAGAAACGCATTCCTAAAAACAAAAGTCCAATGCCAACCAGCTGTATACACTATAGAAATTAGAAAATTTTAGTTGAGAAGAAGAAGTCCACGCAAAGGAGTTCACAAAAATGCATTGAAACAACACTATTTTTCAAAAGTGCCATTTTGGCAACACTAGACAGTGGGAATGTGACTTTTGGTCTTTTATGAATTTGCAATAGCCGTTGGTACCAGGAAATGGTTGACCAGATATAAATCTGGGTCGTTCCGGTTACGTGATGCCGAAATTTATTGTTAATTTTTGAGTATAATTGAATTATGATTTTGAGTTTATGCAGCCATTTTAAGGCAAACGAAAAATTAGTGGGATTCATGAAACGACGCAAAGTTGTTGCAAATGTCTGATTTGTTGCAAAATATTATTACTTTTGTATGGAAACTCTCCTGCGACAAAATTTTCGTAATATTTGAGCTGGCAATCATTGCAAACTCAAAGTCGAGAAACACATGCTATTTTATTGTCCACGAATAGTTCAAGAAAAAGTATATTAGGTAAGGCTGCTTCGAAATATAATTGTAAAAACTTTTATTTTTCACCTACGCGTGGCATTTTTTTTTTAATTTTACAATTCTAATCCGGAGTTGCGATAGGTCGTTCATACAACTTTGTTTGCAACGTTGTCATTTCCCCAAAAATGCCACTTGACAAGTTGACCAACCTGCCTCAAAAATCAAAAATTTTTGATTTTTCTCCAACCTGACGAACCACTTGACGAAGGTTTGTCAGCTTGCCTACACACGGCTTATTTACCACCACCTTCTAGCGGTTGGCCAACTGGTTGGCCGATAAATCGATCCATGTGTAGGGCCTTTAAGGCAAAGAACAAAGTGACGCGACAAAGAGAGCGACAACAACAAACTTTTAATTTTCAATGTGGCAGCACATAGTGAAGCGAAAAGCGAAGAAAGCGACAAAGAGCATAGCGAAGAAAACAAAAAAATGCGTTTTCCTTGCTTTCTGAGCTGACGGTTGCTTCACTATGTTTCGACATTTCTTGTGTCTGAAGGTATTGGCCCAATGCACGCTTGCTTTGCTTGCTTGGCTTTGAGAACTGTCAAACAATTTTTAAAATCTACTAAAATGTATGAAAGTTGGCCTAGTGGCAGCTTTACTTCACTTGCTTGAAGCGCTTTAAAGTATCGATTAGCCGAAATCTCTATTTGACAGCGCGCTGTAGGCTTTTGACAACTCTTGACATTTCAATTTTTCGCGTCGATTTTGCTTGTGTGCAGTTTTTATCGCGTTCTTCATCAATTTTAGGTAAAATAATTTATATTAAACAATTATTTGTTGCTAACAACATTATTTTTTCAGATACCTTGCTTTTTATCGTTCCGGCCACCAGATTC